ACCAATAATAAAGCTGATATAGAGCTATATAAATCATTACGCAATATGGTAAATGATGTAATTAAAAGAGAGAAGGAACATTACTTATCCCATAAAATAAATTGTTCATTAAAAAATCCTCGGCAAATGTGGAAGGAAGTACATAAAGTATTAGGAAATAAGAAGCAGTCCGCATTACCGGCACATTTGAGTGATCCCAATATAATTAATAGGTCTTTTATAGATACTATTCCTGCGGGTAATTTTTTCGATAACGATCCTAATTTGACAGGTAGGTTCAGTCATAATACCTTTAGTTTTCCCGTCTTTAACCCTCAAGAAATCAATAAAATTTTAAACTCGTTATCCTATAATGCTATGGGTGCCGATGGGATCTCTTTAACAATGATAAACTTAACATTACCGTATTCCCTGGACGCTATTACAGCAATCATAAATAAGTCGCTACAAAGTGGAACATTCCCATCATTGGAAAACTGCTATTATTAAACCATTACCGAAAAATAGTAACGTAGAGACTGTTAAGGATCTTCGCCCCATAGGATTATTACCAATTCTAACAAAGGTTTTAGAAAAAGCGGTGAACTCTAGCTTACTTAAGTTTTTTGAAAGTAATTGCATTATTCCAGAATGTCAGTCAGGTTTTAGAAAACGTCACAGCACCACCACGGCTTTATTGAATGTTGTCGACGACGTTTTGGCAGCATCCAACGAGAATCGTGCTTCTATTCTAGTTTTACTAGATTATAGTCGGGCTTTCGATTGTATCAATAGAAAACTTTTAGTCGATAAATTAAAATATTATGGTTGTGACGAATTAACATGTTCTTGGTTTAGTAGTTACTTTAGTGAACGAACTCAGATTACGGAGTGCACAGATCAAAATGGTAGGAAGATCTTGTCTACGCCAATGGAAATAAAAAGAGGAGTAGTTCAAGGCTCAATTCTTGGCCCGACTCTTTATTCCATTTACACTTCAGATCTCAATAAATGCATTAGCTCCGGATCTGTACATATGTATGCAGATGATACCCAAGTGCTGGTTCATACGGACTTGACTACGAGCAATGTTGATTGTGCAGTTGCTCTTCTTAATCGCGATCTTGAGACTCTATCACAATGGTCGCACATAAACGATCTTCAACTGAATGCTAAAAAATGTTCAATCACAGTTTTGGGTACGCGTAAACAAATTGAAGCAGTTAGAAGTGTTTCCCCTAAGGTGATGGTGAATGGCCAGTTACTCAATGAAACCCCTATTGTTAAAAACCTAGGTTTATTGCTTGATGGATCGCTGCGTTTCGAAAATCACATTGATTCCAAAATAGGAAAATGTTACTCAGCATTGAAGCAACTCTACAAACTAAGACCTTACCTGAGTACAGCTGTTAGAGTAAGATTGACTGATTCGTTGGTGCTGTCCCAATTAGATTACTTAGATATAGTATATGGCCCTTGTTTAAATAAGAAAACTTCTGATAAAATACAGAGAGTTCAAAACTCTTGCATTAGATATTGTTTTAAAGTACCACCCCGTTCTCACATTACTCCCTTTTTAAATACGTATAATATATTAAATATGAAAAATAGATATACTCTAAAACTTAATAGTCTGGTACACACCTTGAGGATCTCGTCTACCCCGGAATATCTAGCCCGTAAACTTAACTGGAGTGACTCGTCACACAGTGGTAATGTCAAATCGCAACGGTACCCTCACATACGTGTATTAGTCATTCCTCGTTTAGCACTCTTCAGGGGCAGTTTTCGATTTGCAGCAAGTAAGTGCTGGAATGACCTGCCACCTCCAGTAAAAAATGCCAGTACGCTATATTCATTCAAAAAAATGTGTTTTAAATGGCTCCTGTCTGTACAGAAATCTAGTAGCAATTGGTCTATTATTAAAACTTGTAGCAACACTAAATAAATAAACTTTTTTAACTTTGTTGGTTTTATAATATCTGTAGTTTTGTAAATTATTATGACTTTTATAGTTTTTAAGTGCAACACAGACGGCCTCTATGTTTCATTAGTTATGTAAGTAGTAACCAAGTGTCATTACTACATTATACATTAAATATTCAGTAGTATTTATTTGTTTAGTTACCGATTAGTTAAAAACCTTAAGTATAAATTAAATATTTAGTGCTCCGTTTGCCGGTCGGTTGTAGCAAGCGAATAGATATAGTTTTAGGTGTAGACTGAAAATCAGCAATGCTGAGTCTTCAACCTTTTTATTCACATTTCTGTTTTAGTTGTCGCTGTTTTTTTATTTGTACTAGTTTTATGTGTATTTTGTGGATAAATAAATGTCTTTTTATTTTTATTTTATTTATTTAATATTGCAAGGATTTGCACGAAGAGTTACGCTTCCACATTTATATGGCAAACAGCTAAGGAGTGGCATTCCCTGTCTGCAGACTTATGCCCTGAATGCTATAACTTGGGCCTTTTCAAGGCGAGAGTGAAATAGGCTTTAGTTAAGTGTGCATGCTCCATTGTCGAACTCACCGTCAATTTTCATCAGGTGAGATGGACATCAAATGCGCACTTATTATTTTAATTACAAAAAAAAGACCCACTATGCTAATGCTACAGCCGAGAGTAGGCTGTGACTCTGATTTTCATTGGGCCCTAAAGTCGAGAAGAGTGGACAATACCTACCTCTGCAATTCGGAATTATTCCATTTTATTATGCTCTATATTTTCTGACTTGCAATTACTTTACTACGTTTGTGTATTTAGAAGAAAAGTTTTGTAATAAATAAGTAAATATATTATTTTTTGCTTTTTTAACTATTCCGGGATTTCTAAGGGCGTTACTTTATATGGTGTTACCTACTCTACATGTGTATCGTCGGTGTTTTGTGGAAAGGGCGAAAGAGTCATTTCGAATTTGTTTTTTTTTCAGGGAAGCATGTTCTAGGTTTTAACGAATGTTTTAAAATGTTTACGTCCTGTTTTAAAATTCTATTTTGGTTTCAATGAAGTTTAAATTTTATAATCTCAGTACAGAGTACTATAAAGACCGACCTCAAAAGTACGTGGAATTACATCTATTTGTCAAGTTTTATTGAAATCGGTTACCGGAAAGTGTGCAAATCCGGATTCATCCCCTAGTTCGCCACTATACGGAACTTGACACAGGAGATAATAAAAATCGGTTCTCACTACTCAAAGTATGTTGAGAGAAAAACGCCTTGAATTGGAGAAATACCAAAATCAACCATTAAAGCAATTGCTCCTAAATTAAAGTTAGGCGCTATTTATAAAAATGAATCGTCATGCGTAAACAGCCACCCTTCGAGCTGGATGATTTTCTTCAACATGAAATGGGTCCACTATGGAAGTACCCCTTTCCAACAAAAAAAGAATCGTGAAAATCGGTTCACAAATATCGGAGTTATCGCGTAACATAAATACAAAAAAAAGAACAAATAGTCGAATTGAGAACCTCCTCCTTTTTTGAAGTCGGTTAAAAAATAATCAAAATAGTGAGGGGAGGAATATTTTTTTTTTATCTTTCCAGCTAAACATTTTTGCAGTCGGGTTTTTGTATTTTTAACCAATTTTTAGACTTGTTTGAAGTCGATTAAAAACAGTCGTGGAATACTAAAACATGCTCCCTGAATTTTTGGAAATGGCGTTTTGGCCCTGTCTACAAAAAAACCGACGACGACGTTTAGGTAAATATGCTGTGCCTCTCTTATTTCCTCTCTACATCTGCGTATTACTTATCAATTTTGAGAAACTTTGACTCACACTAATTTTGATGAACATAGGAAGTTGTTAGTATACGTACATGTACTGGCGTCGGCATTTCCTCGTCAAGTAAGGTAGCTGGCCATAACTATACGTAATAAACTGACAACATCGTTCTATGACTCATGAGCCTAAACATGTAAAGGATAGCGATAGGACAAGAACTCGGTGTTAGGGGCAATTCGTTCTTGGTTTCTATTGTTACATAGTACACGAAGTTGGGATATGTTGTAATACAGTGATTTTAAAACGAACTTTTCAAACAATTTCAGTAGAGCTCCTTGTGAAAAAAAAAGCATTTATTTACTAGATAAAAGTAATTACAGTATCCATTGTTGTGGCTACTTGTAAGTAGAAGTTACTTGTGTTAGAAGCCCCGCTCTTCAGGGTTACACTTTTTTTTTTGTGAAAGAGTTCGTCCAGGGAAGTACTGCCACCTTACCTATTTCTGCCGCCAAGCAGTAATAAAAACATTACTGTATTCCGGTTTGGAAGGGTAAGTGTGTGAAATTACAGGCCCATGGAACTTGTCAACTTATGTCTCAGGGTGATGGGCGCAGTGGCAGTGCCCCTGAGATATTTTGTGATTTAAAGCTCTGAGTGACACTGCATCTGTTAGGGACAGGCGTGACTCTTACCACCAGACACACGACTTGTTCGTCCCGTCACTTAGTATTATATAAAAAAAAGACATTAAGTACAAGTGACGCTTATGGAAATTTTAACAACAGATCTGTTTGATTTTTAAAATAAAGCGACGCAACTTTTTTCATGGAATGTAGAATTGAGAAAATACATCAGAAATCACTACTTTGTATATTTTGATTGATTACTAGCTGATAAGTTCAAAAAGGTATTCAATATTAATACAAATTACATCGCTTTTATCAGACAGAGAAGACGAATTTTGCGGGAAGAACAGCGGTTATACTTTCTCTACATGCGTAACTCTTGAAAGTGAGGGCAGTAGGTAAAACATATTTAATCTGGTCGAATGGCACGCATTTTTTTGCTAGTGCCCATCTAAAATATATTTAAATTTTAGTATGTTTTTATTAAAGCCAAACGAACGAATTTATTTGTAAAGTAAATTTGTTTTTCCGATGTTAAACGCTTTCAGTATTACGATGATCTAAACCTTAAACACATGGTGACGGCGCGATAGCATTACGACAGTGATATCACAGTGTAGTATGACTCCAGTGACGGCAGGCGATTCAACGATTCATAATCCGCGCAGGCGCCGTCGCTGCCACACGCGTTCACCCCGCTGTTGAACACAGGCCGCTGTCTGCCGACAACACGAAACATCGACACTTTTTCCGTGCGTCATTCGAGCAGGTTGCTGCTTACAAACAAACCATTGTGGCGAACACTCCAAAAATCCTGTATTGACACCATTGCGCGTTATTGCAAAACAATGAAAACTCGTCAAAGAGTGTTCCAGTGAAAAATATCGATAAGATAAAATTATAACAAGTCAATAATCTTTATCGTTGCGGTGCGCAGTGCGAAGGCGGTTTAAAATTTTCGTTCTTTCCAATCTACAAGGCAACGTCGCGCAGTAGGGATTGTTGAACAAATGTGGGAACCACAAATCGTGTAATTTCGGCGAACAAGTGACAATAGTGCAGCGACATTAATCATGGGTAGGCCGACAAAATTCGGGACTCCAGACAATACTGATAGTGAGGAGAGCGGTGAGGTTTTCACCGACGGCGATTTCGACGATAGCGACGAAGATCCCGTCAATCGTGATGACAATGATACTTCTCTTACAGTCAATGAAACCATCAACATGGACGTAAAGAACACTGATGTGGAAACGTACGATAACCTTAATGATAATGGTTTTGGGCAAGTAAACGGTGATGAGTCGAAGGTGAACGGACTTAATAATGGACATGTTAGTGATTCGGAGAATTACAACAGTTTGATGGATTTGCGAAGAGACTCTAACAGTGAACTAAATCCGTCTATAGTCGGAATCCTCGGTGGTCAACAAAATTATGTACGTATTGTTTTTTTATCGGTAAGCTTTTTACAACACTCCTAATTTTTTTTACATACCAAGGTAACAAATTTTAGTTTAATTTAAAATGACACTCATAACAGATTTCGCAACCCTTTATAAAGGTTCCATACCCTTCTCATACTTTTCTAAACAATAACACGAGTATGACTCCTAAGACTAGATATTCGTTTATATTACGAGCATGCCTTTAGAATGAATTGTTTCTTACGTCATTTTATTGTTATACCTGCACACCAAGGAGCAAAATTTTCTATTGTAAATTAAAATATCGGTATTTATGAGGTACCAAGTTGCCAAGGGCGATATTATCTTCTCCGTTAATACCGTTATGATTTAGGAAGCCGCCTCTCTTCCAACAGCTGTCTCAGCTATTTGTTTATACACCATCAACATTATACTCCACTTGTCTTGGCCTTAGTTTCTAATTAGACGGCGTAACATTTAGCGTGAATTGCCTAATTTGAATGTGAATTGAGTCCGCAATTTTGCATTATTATCAAATTTAAGAAAAGTGTGGAAGCATGACAAAATTATCATCTTCACTGTTTTTTTTGTTAGTTATTTTAAAACATTATTGGTGATGACACGGCCTGGTGGATGTTTGTAGCGAGACGGCCTTGCTATGTATAGAGCCTGGATTACGTCATGATTGCGTTCTCTTAGATCTTGTTCGGTCTCGCTAGCTGAGTCGCATTGATTTACGCGAGTTGACAGGTTATTTGATACTACTGTATCTATTCACATTGTTATACCTTGATCTTTTTCAAAGTAAAGCTGCGAGGTGAAGTGGCATATTTCATTAAGTCTGCCATTTTGGGCATTAGAAACTCTTTTCTATTGTCTTTCAATTATCGGTTTATACTTTACCTTAAACATCTTACATTCTATCTATTGCGTATACGTGTTATGTCCACAAATCTCACAATTTAGTGTTTCACGATTTCCATAAGTACTTATTTCTTTTGTCAACAATAAGGAAACTGAATTTCAAATATAGCAAATACGTTCGTAACACAACCAGTGCACATGTGGCTTCAGCATCAAACACTTGTGTGGTTATGACCTCGGCCATAAAATACTTATGGGAATAAAGGCGTTATGTCTTCGTCTGAATTTTTATTGCGCCTCGCTGGAAGGCTGTTTCTCGTATTTGTAAGTGATGTCATTGTTTTACAAACTTTGTTTTAATGGCTGTCTTTCTCTTTAGGGTACCTACTAATTTATACAGTAATACCTTTAATGAGCACTTGGTTTTCTAAACAGTCTTCAATGGAAGTACTTTCTTGTTTGTGTCTATTTTGTACCATTTCGTCTGTTTGTCCGACTTTACTTGACTATTCTTTCGTTAAATTGTGTATTGCTTTTTGTGATAGCTCTGCCGTTCCGGAACGACCTTAATTATTTACACCATTAACATTTGATTCGTTCGTTAGGCATGTCATACTAAAAGTTATAAAGGCATTATCTAATAATGTAGTCTTCTTATTGCTATTGGAATTGTTTTAAAATTATATTCGTGTTCTTGAGTTTGATGGTTACTTCATATTAGAAATGAAAGTATTTGGATCTATTTATCTATTCTCGGATCGAAATCGAGTATTTTTTGACCATGTAACGAATTGCATAATATATATTTGTTTAAAAAAAACACAAATATATACGCGATTTACATCCGAATAAATAAATACTCGTAGTTTCATTTTCAGTCCAGTTATATGTATACATATGTGTATGTCTATATATGTATACTTTGTATCGAGTTTTAAAATTTTCGCGGTTATTACACATAGGAAATGAAATTATTTTTTCGTCTCGAAATCTAAATTTAGATTTTTGTTGCAAAATGTAGCAATAAAGAATGTGATAATGTCCATTTTTGGCCATCAAATGTAGCTATCTATAAACAGAAGATAATAAATGTCTCAAAGCAAACACGAATAAGTCTGTTTACACTTGATAAGCGTGTAAGAGTGGTTACACACGGCATCGCTTCACTTGCGATTTGCATCGCTGCTTAAAATCTTGTATGTGTAAAGCATGGACCAATAACTCAAGAGGACTGCTAATCGTCATACAAGACAGCGTAGCCGGGTATTTAGTACCTATTGGTACACTAGATGTCGCGACGATTACCAAATAGCTATTTTGTAACGTTATTTTACATTGACACATTGATTCTATCAAATCTGCTTCTAGTGATAACAAACACGTCAACTAGATGGCGCTATATTTTACCTCAAAATTGATATGCACCTGGAGTCGTATATAAATACATTGTAAAAAAAAACAATCGCAACTCACAACGTTTCCATCCTCTAAATAATAACTAGAACACTACTTTGTCTATTCTAATGCCATTTAGACATATTGATAGTTTAGCTTAAAATTATTCATATTTCAATGTTACTGGGTGTAAGAAGCGAGAAAAAACAATGGCTACGGTGATTTTAGGCTGAGAACACCGAACGTGCGAAATAATATTTTTTAATTTTATTTGTAATTCCAAGAAGTATGATATCGCAGATATTGCATTTGTCCCAAAGGGTCATATCGGAACGCCACACAGTGGGCCCAAATTGATAATTCTTGGACATAGGAATAACTTGTAGAGTATCGAGCAAATTTTTTTTATGTGACATATAATAACATTCCTAACAACTTTTATTCTTGTATGATTTCTTGAAAAGTTGATAGATTCAGAGAAAAAAAATTTTTGTATGGACAAATATACATTTTATTTTTTATCTCAAAATATACGAAAATCTAATGTGCGTGGGTTACTTACAGTATAGTTCCCATCATTTTCTATGTAGAAAAAAATAATCCGTCT